GAGGATATTTGCGGTATGTGTGTTAAGCAGGATGGGGGGTGTTTGGCTTCTTTCATAGAACAATTACTTTTGGTTAAGCTTAATCAATCACAAGTGGATGCTATTGAATCTGTCATCTCAGTTGTACAATGTGGGCATGTGAACCTCATGAAGCTTATATGGGGTCCACCAGGCACTGGAAAAACCAAGACGGTTAGCACTTTACTGTGGGTCTTGGCGTGTTTGAAATGCAGAACTCTTACTTGTGCTCCCACAAATGTTGCTGTTGTTGGAGTTTGCACTCGTTTCCTTCAAAACTTGAAGGATTTCAATCAGCGCACTAACAACATTGGTCTGCCTTCTTCTCTTGGAGATATCTTGTTATTGGGAAGCAGGTCTAACATGGACATCACCAAGGATCTTCAGGAGATTTTCTTGGATTTTCATGTCGACGAACTTGTGGAATGCTTTTCATCGTCGTCTGGATGGAACTACAGAATAGCTTCAATGATATCCCTTTTTGAAGACTCTGCTTCACGGTATAATATGCTTCTTGAGGATGATGGCAAAATTGATCCAGTGTGCTTTTTGGACTTCGTTAAGAAGCAATTTGATGTGATAGCAGTAGCTCTGAAAAGATGCATCATGAATTTGTGGGTTCACCTTCCTAGGAGGTGCTTTTCTCGTGACAGTGCCATAAATATATCTACATTGCTTCATATGCTGGAAATTTTGGTGCTCTTCTGTGCAACGTAGACTTGACTGATGAGGGCTTAAAAAGGGGACTTGGTTGCCTGTCAACTGAAAACTCTGTTTGTGCACAACCTATGTCTTCTATTGAAAAGGAACTGGATGGAGCAAGATCTTCATGCCTTAAATTGCTAAAGGATCTGCTACACTCTCTTAATTTACCCACTGGAGTAAACAAAAACTGGGTCCAGAACTACTGCATACATAATGCAACACTTTTTTTCTATACTACATCTAGCTCTTATCGGTTACATCACATGGAGATTGCACCCCTCGAAGTATTAATTGTTGATGAGGCTGCTCAAGTGCGGGAGTGTGAATTGGTGATCCCATTACGTCTGCATTGGTTAAAACATGTTGTTTTGGTAGGAGATGACTGTCAGCTGAGTGCAATGGTTAAAAGCAAAGTAAGGTTTTGCCTCACCCTCTTTATATTGTCTGAATTCATTTGTTAGTCATTGGCACATTTATCAACAAGATAAACTTATGATACTGAAATGCTAAGAATAGAAAATGTGACGGCCATATCTTTCTTTTATGTCTCATTGTTATTTATCTGTTTTCGATAATGTTACTTACTTTCATTGGTTGTCTCTAGGTATGCAAAGAAGCTGGATTTGTGACAAGTTTATTTGAGAGATTGGTTATGCTCAAATTTGATAAGCATTTGTTGAATATACAGTATCGCATGAATCCTTGTATCAGCTTATTTCCAGATGCTCAGTTTTATGAGAGGAAGATTTTAGATGGTCCCAATGTCATGTCTCCTAGTTATAATAAGGATTACACATGCCTCCCTTTTGGGAGCTACACGTTTATAAATCTCACTGATGGAAGGGAAGACACAGAGGGCATGGGAAACAGTCGCAGAAACATGGTTGAAGTTGCTGTTGTTTTGCACCTAATCAATACCATCTTTAAATGTATGTCTAAGCTGAACTCTATCCTTTCTTTAACCTTAATATCCTTTCTAGTTATTTTTTAAGAAGCTACTTGGGCATGGGATCTTTAGAAGCTGACGTGATCTGCCGTTCTTGTATTGCATACTGCATGACCTTCATTGGTAGAAAGGTGTTCACCACAATAGTGTACGTTTGAGAGTCCAGTTTTCTATGTGTATCTCTTGATATGGTTAATTACATCAACCCGACTTTATTAGATTTCAATTCTACTGCCCTGTTCGGTAAACAATGTATTTTTATTTTGAAAAAAGAGAGCATTAGATAGATGACATGAAAGATGAAGCATTATGCTCTATCAGAGTTGTTTGGCCATTGCCTGGACCCGCCTTGGTAACTTCTATTATCATCGGACTTCGTAGTTGAAAAGCAATGATATGTCAATGATTTGGTGACACGGAATCAACTTAAATTTGTTGAAGAATATTCTTTCAATAGCCTTGTCAAATAATTGATCCGTAATGATCAGTAAGCATGCCACCTAAGTTTTTTCTGCAGCTTGGAAAAGGACAGACCAAGGGCTCAACATCGGTGTGGTCTCTCCATATAACGCTCAAGTTGATGCAATTAAAAATCGACTTGGCCAAAAATATAATACATGTGATGGCTTTCATGTGCGAGTGAAGTCCATTGATGGTTTCCAGGGAGAAGAGGATGATATAATAATACTATCAACTGTTAGTTCCAACGGGAGAGGAGTTGTTGGATTTCTTGCTGATAATCGAAGAACAAATGTTGCTCTTTCTAGAGCAAGGTGTGCATCAATTTTTTTTGCGGTCCCTTGTTTTATTGCTGTTCAAAGTATGTCAGACTGATGATAGAAATTATCTGATGGATGCTTTATTCATACAGGCACTGTCTTTGGATTGTTGGGAATGCTCATACACTTCATAAAAGTGGGACCGAATGGACAGACCTTGTTGCTGATGCGGAGAGACGTAAATGTATTTTCAGTGCCACTAATGACGCAACCATCTGTAGGTTGGTTTTGCTAGTAAAGCAAGACCTTGATGAACTTGAGGATCTTCTTAGTGCTGAATCAGCGGTTTTCAGCAATACCAGATGGAAGGCAAGTGCCATGGTTTCAGCCAGTTTGGCTTTGAACTACTTTCTTATTTTCTAATATGCGGTTGCACTTAAATTACCCAGAATGCAAACCACATGTATATGCATTTGTTTTATGAGACTCATGCTTGTTGTCAGGTAGTTAGGGTTTACTGAATATACAGTTCCTTTATAGTGTGATTTTTTTGTGTTCATGATAGATCTGTTTTTTACTTTTTGGAGTCATGTATGTGGTTCACTTGTCTCTCCTAGGCTGGTTGCTCTGCAATTGGATTGTGAGAGGTTTGTAAATAAGATTTTCAGGACATGTGCTACTTTGTGAAGCTCCTAATTTTCTTGAAGTACACAATGTTCATTTTTCTTGTCTACATTCTTTCTCATGTTCCATTTTTTGTATTCATGTATTCGACAGGTCATTCTTAGCGACGAGTTTAGAAAGTCTTTCACCAAACTAAAATCACCACAGCTCAGGAAGGAAGTACTCCAAAATCTTATCAAACTTGGAGATGGTTGGAGGACAACAGTCAAGAACCTTGATATGCCTGGTGTTTCTCATCTTGTAAAAGTATACAAGGTCTGGGACTTGTATCTTGTTTGGAGTACTGACATTGATAAAACTGAAAGAACGTATTCCCAGATAATAAGAATTTGGGACCTACTGTCACAGCAAAATGTTGCAAGGATTGTTCAACGCCTCGAGAATCTATTCTAGATGTACACGGATGATTACCTGGATCATTGCAGGAGAGTGCAGGCACAAGGGTATGAGTTTTTTTATTGTTAATGGGCTATAATCAGGTTTCTTAGATTTGTTATACCTCTGATACTTACAGATATGAACTGTCTGTAAATAGTTCATGCCTACAAATGAATTGCCTGAAGACATTCTTCTAATCTTTGCCCTCCTTTTTGTTGTGGATAACAGGAAACTGGAGGTTCCAATGGTTTGGGATATTGTGCATGATATTATCCGCTATAACAAGGATTGCAAAGCTGATGCTCATGAAGAGCATGATCCCATGGATACATCATATGGCATGGAGAATTCAAAAGTTAGTGAAAGCTTCCTACTGATGAAATTCTACTCTTTATCATCTCGAATGGCAAAGCATTTGCTGACAGCTACTGATGGGTCTGAAATCAACATCCCCTTTGAACTGACGGATGAAGAGAAGGTGATAATCCAATTCCCGCTCACTAGTTTTATAGTTGGGAGGTCAGGCACTGGAAAAACCACTGTACTGACAATGAAACTGATTCAAAACGAGCAACAGTCATTGATTGCATCGCAAGGTTTAAATTTGGATGGAGCTGATTTATCAGGGGTAGATGACAATAATATTATGTCAACAAAGAATGGAGGAGAAAGTTCTGTGAAACAAGTATTTATCACTGTAAGCCCAAAGCTATGTTCAGCCATAAAAGATCACATCTGCAAACTTAAAAGGTAAGTCAGTTGAATTGAAACCCCTATTTAAAAGTATTACATATGTTTACACCATTTTGGAAATTATTTTTATAGGACTATTTAAGTGGACAGAAATGTGTGCATGAGTTGGCTCAATTTTTTTCCCACTATACTTCTTTCTGTTAGAGGTAGTGAGGGTAGGCCTTGAATGTTGCTGGGCTAGGCGTGCACTCAGCCACTCACATGACTAGCCCACTGAGCCATGCTTGGTGCTCTTTTGTGAAATTATACATTGCATGTGGGTTCAATGATTTCTTATGAAGATACTCGCTTTGCTTCTTTTATGTTTTGTACCAACAATAATCCTTGTATTAATTCCAATTTATTTTAACCCTTTACAGATTTGGCACCGGTGATGTCTCTGACCAGTCTAGCATTCTTCACATGCATGACATCATGGATGACCTGGAAGAGTTTACAGAAATTCCTGAAAGTTTTTGTGATCTACCTCACGGGCACTATCCTCTTACTATAACATACCGTAAGTTTTTGATGATGCTTGATGGAACATGCCATACATCTTTTTTTGATGCGTTTTATGGTGAAATGAAGTCTAGCTTTGAGAGAGGCCATTCAAGATCTCGTGCAGTGCATACTTTTATTGAATTGAAGGAAGTTACCTATGAAAAATTTGCTACTTCCTACTGGCCTCGTTTTAATGCAGATCTGACAAAAAAATTGATGCGTCCACTGTCTTCACTGAAATAATTTCTCATATAAAGGACGCATATCAAGCAAGCAGGCCTTATACTGGCAAACTGGACAGACAAGATTATGTGATGCTCGCTGATAAAAGAATTTCATCTTTGAACAATGAGATGAGAGATAGAATTTATGATATATTCCTTGAATATGAGAGTATGAAATGCACTACCAGGGAGTTTGATTTGTCAGATTTTGTAAATAGTCTTCACAGCAGTCTTGTATCTGAGGGCTACAATGGAGATATGGTGGATTTTTTTTACATAGATGAGGTGCAGGATCTCACCATGACACAAATAGCACTTCTTAAGTATGTCTGTATGAACATCAAGGAAGGCTTTCTTTTTGCTGGTGACACTGCACAGACTATAGCAAGGGGTATCGATTTCAGGTTTGAAGATATCCGTTCACTTTTTTATACTGCATTCCTCGCAGAAAATGAAGCGTCTAATGAAGGACTTAAACATGGGAAAAGAGTCCATCTCTCACATATGTTCCAACTATCACAGAATTTCCGCACACATTGTGGCATCCTCCGTATGGCACAAAGTATCATGAGCCTTCTGTACTTCTTTTTCCCATCAAGTGTTGATAAGCTTAATCCAGAGACTGGACTTGTACATGGAGAAGCTCCTGTGCTGCTGGAGTCTGATAATGATGAGAATGCAATTATGACTATTTTTGGAGAAAGTAAAAGTAAACATGGTAACCTGCATGGGTTTGGTGCCGAGCAAGTCATATTAGTTCGTGATGATGCTACCAAAAAACAAATTATTGATCTTGTTGGTAAACAAGCTCTTGTTTTGACTATTGTTGAATGTAAGGGCCTTGAGTTTCAGGTATGATCCTATATATTCAGTTTCATCTGTGTTCATTTTGCAAAATATTTTAACTGTAAAACGTGTTGTTTCAAAATGTCAAGTATACTCACTTCTGAGATATTTTCTAGGATGTGCTGTTGTACAACTTCTTTGGTTCGTCGCCTTTAAGAAACAAATGGAGAGTTCTCTACGGCTACATGGAAGATAAATATATTATAGCACACTCGGAGCAGATCTCTCATCCTGGTTTCGACAGAAGCAAGCATTATCTTCTCTGTTCAGAGCTGGAGCAACTCTATGTTGCAATCACACGCACTAGGCAAAGACTCTGGATATGTGAAAATACAGATGATTAATGTCGACCAATGTTTGACTACTGGAAGAAGTTGTGTATTGTAGAAGTTAGATCACTTGATTCTACTCTCATTCGGGCAATGCAGACAGGGAGCAGCAGTGATGATTGGAGGCTACGGGGAACCAAGGTTGGTGATCTTTGCTTGTTTGGTCTGGAAAGCCAATTTTAGTTACCATGCTATGCATTATGTTGCCTACTGAGTGATTTTTTGCATGTTCTTAATCTTGTGAAATTCATGTTTTTTGGTCTCACAGTTGTTCTATGCACACAAATTCTTTGTTAGTCGGGTCACGGCGTGTACCTACTTACAGTTTTTCTGTTCTTCACTTTTACCATTGTTATTCCATCCACAAGTTCTCTCTCTTTTCCTTTTGTAGTTATTCAATGAGGGGCAATTCGAAATGGCTACTATGTGTTTCGAAAAGGCTGGTGATGCACACAGAGAGAAGTGGGCAAGAGCTGCTGGACTTGTAGCGACCGCTGACCTTGTCATCTCAAAAAATTTGGAGTTGGTCAAGGCTTCATTGCAAACAGCATCAGAGATTTACGAGTCCATAGGCATGCATGAGAAAGCTGCTACTTGCTATATCAAATTAGGTGACTACAAAAAAGCAGGTCTGCTAACTCTCCATAATTCCCAAGCTGTATCCATACTTTTGAGTTCTCATCATTCCATAACGTTTTACAAATGATAGTTTGTTCTTAAAAAGTTGCCATATAAGTAAATGTCATCAGATTTCAAAACATTTATTCGAAATGAAATCCCTCCATAAATTGCAGACATGCTAATTTTTAGCTTTGATATGGATAATTTTTAGCTCTGTCTGGCACTCTGACTAAACATTGTGTTCCTTGCATTGCCATAGGTATGGTCTATACGCAAAAATGTGGTATTTCTAGACTTGAGGAAGCTAGTGACTGTTTTGCTAGGGCTGAATGCTGGTCGGAGGCAGCTGAAATGTTTTTGAAAGCTAAATGTTACACCAAGTGTTTCTCCATGTGCTCGAAAGGAAAACAATTATACAATCTGGGCTTGCAGTTTGTGCAACAGTTAAAGGAGGAACATTCACTTGAGAATTCAAAATCCTTGGAGGTTTCTACAATCAGAATGAAGTATCTGGATAATTGTGCTCAACATTATTTTGAGCGTGGTGACATAAAGAATATGATGCTCTTTGTTAAAGCTTTCAGCTCTATGGATCATGTACGGGTGTTCCTAAATTCTAGAAATCTTATTGATGAACTATTGAGTTTAGAGATGGAAATGGGTGATTTCCTAGAAGCTGCAGGAATAGCAAAGCATAAAGGAGATGTCTTACTGGAGGTAGACATACTCGAGAAGGCAGATTTGTTTGAGGATGCAACACGGCTTCTCCTCCTCCATATCATTGTGGGTTCCTTGTGGTCTTCAAATAGTAGGGGGTGGCCTCCCAAAAGATATGCAGAGAAGGCAAAGTTGCTTGCAAAAGCCAAAGAGATGGCAAAAAAGGTCTCTGAGTGCTTCTACTGCTTTGTTTGCGTCGAAGCTGATGCACTGTCAGATGTGAATAAGTCTCTTTCCAGTTTGAATTGCACTTTGCTTGAGGGCAGAAAATGTGCAAACTTACTAGTTGAACTTGTTGCTTCCCGTTCAATCCTTGATGTTCATCTTCAGTCTCGAGCCTCTGGATACAAGATAGAATTAGGGCCAGAATCTGAAGATGAAAATAGCTGTAATGATATGCTGGCCTCTAACCAGATGTCACCCCAAACTCTGTTTTATGCCTGGAATCGCTGGAAGTCGATCATAATCAAAGTACTATCTCATCTTTGCCACACCGATGGTCCAGAATTAAATGACTATGCAGTTGTGTATGAAGATCTTTTTGCCAAGTACTTCGGATTGAGAAAAGATGGTGAAGGTGACAGATATGTTGTGCTGAACATGAATGCAAGTTGGCTTTCCAACGCTGGCAGGAATTCTTTGCAGCAAGACAGCAACAGATGTTTATTGGGTGCCTCCGAGTGTCATTCATGTGCTCAGTGTTTCTGGATGAATGAGCTGTCTTCTGTTGGTTTCAGTGTACTTAAGAAGTTGGAGTCAATTGTTCAAATTTCTCGAAAGTCAGCATCTTGGTATACCCTGGTCAGAACTGTCCTTATCATACATGAGATAGAAAAGTTTTTGGAAGAACCACAGTTCAGCATGCCAAAAGGTTCCATGAAGTTAAGAAGCTTTTTTGTTCTCTGCGGGCGTCGATTCTTTGAGCTAGTTTTTCTTGTGTGGAGAGATGGGACAAAGGGGAGCCTCTCGCATGTACTTGACTCACCAGCTGCATATGGATTGATTGCTGATTCTCTTAGTGCAAATCTTCGCCCAGCAAATAAAAATTTGACTTATGGGCATCTTGGGAGAACAACCATGCTTCTGCTTCATACAGCACAATTGGACGAAGTGCTACTTACAAGACTACTACAGTACCTGGGCAATAATTCTGAGTGGGCAGGTTTTTTTCGATATTTCAAGAGATTTATTGACAGTGGTCGCAATAGATCATCCTTGATCTTCAACTTTAAGCTTGCTCTTGAGTTTACCTTAAGTGTGAAGTGGAAGGATGAACTAGACTACATATCCCCGGCATGTTATATGGGTCTTATGGAGTGCCTTGGTTTCTTGGCTTCATCATGCTTTGTACAGAATGATTTTATGTGCTGGATGAAATCTCTGTTGGTCAATATGCTGGAGTGCCGTACCAGCAAGGCTTTCATTGACACCTGCCTGGTATCTAAGTCAAGCCCAGATTCTGGTCTTGATGGTGTGGCACACTTATCAGGCCGTTTCATATACGAGACAATTATTACTATCTTGACGACCAAGCATATGCTCCAGGAATGGGTACATAAGACTTCATGTCCTTCCAGTACTTCATACAAAGCAGTCCTCCTGAGACTAGTTGTTACACTTTATCCTCTGATCCTTACTCTTTCTCTTGGGAAGTGCTATGAGGTCACACGTAACCTTGTGAGGAATGAAGTATTTAAGGATTTACCTTTGGAGTTCTCTAAGAAGATTGAAGATGCTTTGAAAATGAGGGCTTGCACACCGAGCAACTTCATAAGAGTGCTTGCTGATGCACTTGCCGCAATCGGAGATCATATGGTAGTTATTGGTTCACCCAAAAGCCCAGTAATATGTCGAAACTTGAATGCCTATATAATAAGCAAGGAGGATTTGCATGATGTTCCGAAGATAATGGCTCTTCTGCGTCTTGAAGAACCAAGTTCTGTGAAACAAGAGACTCCATTGCCGGAAAAATATGATGGTAGCAAGCGTCCTGAAGAACCAAGTTCTGTAAAGCAAGAGACCCCACTGCCAGAAAATTCTAATGGTAGCAAGCTAAAAATGTTATTTCTGGAAACATTCCTGTGAATGTAGAGTTAGTAAAGATAGGAATCAGTTCGAGAAAGAAAAAATCAACTGATGTCCTTGTGCCTGTAGAGGTATTTGTTAAGTATATATGTTGTGTTTGTCTTGTACAGGCCCAGGCCCATAGTCTAGAGTGAGGCCCAGGCCCATGTAACCTTGTATATATCTCTCTCCTCCTCAATATAGAAAACTGTTCGGTCATTCTCTCTTCCTCACGTTTTCTAACATGGTATCAGACCAGGACCAAACCCTAGTCCCTCTTCCAGCCGCCACCCATGAAATCACCGCCGGTGAGGTGATTCAGGCGGATCTGTCTGGTGAGGAGACAACCACATCGCTGCCCCATCCCATCTTCATCATCAACCTATAGGAGCTGCTCTCCAGTAGCTCCTCTGTGTGTCCTCACAGCTGCTCTGTGAGAATACTTCCCCTGCTCTCCAGCAGCCATTTCCAGCAAGCTCTTGGTGCCTTCCCTGCTCTACAGCAAGCTCCAGGCGTTCCCCTTCTATCCAGCAAGATCCAGCAAGCTCCACCTTCTATCCAGTGAGATCCAGATCCAGCTCCTGTTTGTGGCTGTCTGCTGCTCTTCTCTTATTGCTGCCTGCAGCTGCTATCAGATTGGGTGTTTCCAGCTGCTGACCGCTCACCACTATGGCAAGAAATGATTTCGGATTTGGTTCTTTGATCATAGATATCAAGCTTGATGGTTCAAACTACAGGGAATGGGCATTTTCTGCCCGGACTGTCTTGAGGACGGCTGGTTTTGTTTCTCATCTGACAGATGATCCACCTAGTCCAAATGATGATGCAGCAAGGAAGTCTTGGCAAAAGATCAATGATCGTGTGATGGGAGTTTTAATTCTGGGTGTTGAACCCTCACTCCGAATGAGTCTTGAGCATCACACTTCAGCTAAAGAGATATGGAAGTACTTTGAGCAGCACTACCTTCAGCCCAGCAGTGCACTTCATTTCTCCTTGTTGCAGAATTTACACAACACTCGGCAGCCAGAAGACATGTCCATAGAAGAGTACTATGGAGCTTTCACTCGCATCACTGGGCAGCTAGGTTCCATGGTTCCAAAGGGTAATTCTGGTTGTGAGTCATGTGCGGCAAAGGAAAAGTATGACCATTAGACTCTCATGTTTCAGTTTGTGATGGGTCTCAAGCCAGACTTTGAGAACATTCGCACTCAATTGCTTGGTCGTATGACTCCTCCCACCTTGACAGAGGCACTTGCTAGCTTGATCGTTGAGGAGACTCGTCTCCGTTCTCTTGGGGCTACTTCTGCTCAGACTCTACACACTAGTGTTCTGGCTTTTCCTCAGCGGCCAGGTGCCTCCAAGGCCACACCTTCATCTGTCGTTTGCTCGTTCTGCAAGAAGGCAGGACACCATAAAGATGGTTGTTTCAAGCTTCATCCAGAGCTCTTAGCTGAGTTTCAGGCTAGACAGGCCCTCAATCAGCAGCGTCGTGCACCCCAGGCTCCTTATCAGCAGCAAGCGAGGGGTGCTTCTACATCTGTTCTCTCTCAGCCCGCTGTTGCTGCAACCCAGCCTTGGGTTCTGGACTCTGGAGCTTCTTTCCATGTGACCTC